CTTTTTTCTTTCAGAGGGCCGCTTTCAAAATAAAAGCCCTGGCTTTAACATATGCTATAATTAAAGAAACCTGGCCTTGATGAAATGCATAAATAAACATAAGAACAACACAATAATAATAAAAAAGGATCCTCATCTTTAAGGGTCATTTACAAGAACATATTAATTCAGCTGTTGCTTAATTGCATCAGGGATGTAGAGGTACCTTTATGTCCAATCTGCTTGAACAATTCTATTTCAAAGATATCTGCCTGCTTCTAATCTGCAAACCTAGCAAGTTCATTCTCCTCCTAAAAGACACATGACTTACACTGGGAGTATTAAATTTGTGAACCATCATTCCAACACTGCATACTTAAATTTAACCTATTTCGCTGTTTTCTGCAAACAGAGTCCTGGTTATTGCTGCTGAGTTTGTTTTATGCTGTGTAGAAGAAATGGATGTAGGTTTCTGGCTGGACCGACGACCGAGATGTAGGCCATGAGTAGTGGTGCTGTTTTTAGGAGCAGTTTTGCTTCAATAGAAGTCTATGGAAAGATGAGGTTTCCTTTGACTTGATTCATAATGTCAGTTCACAGTTGCTAGATTTTTATCGTCTCCGTTCCCAGTTGCAGGTGCTTCATTTTGAATCTCTTTTTCCTCAAGTGTCTCCACAAACAAAGCTGCACTGAATATAGGCTATATACAGTATATACTGTATACATATATATATCTAGCAGGATGAGCAGGAACTCACTCCCAAAAAGCAAGTGCCCCTTTATAGGGAAATATATGGACGACTTTTTAATTGATGAAATGCAGATTCACACTTCTCGCTTAATACAAACACCTGATTTCTGCAACATTAACAGAGTACAGAGGGTCCTCAACTTATAAGTCTGTAAGTCAGAGCTCATTTTGTACATCAGTGCCTATGTCACTCACCTACACTAACACAGTGGTAACATAAAAATGTAGGGCATGAAAACATCAGTGTCTGACTCATGTCTGGGAGCCATAATGAAGGGCACCCCCCCCCCAAAAAAAAAAAATCAGCAAAAACAAAAGAAAGACAATGTAGCATCATCCCGTGTATGGCATACAACCGGCAAATGTAAACTCAGCTCAAAAACTAGTTCCCGTGCAAACCAGTTGGTCAGTTGTTACTCTGTGAGGACCCACTATTTAGGCCAATGGTGTATTTTTACACTCACAGTTGATAAAATCAGAATGGAAAACACTTTTTTATGTTAAATATGGTATAATTCATGGGTTTTATGGTATGTGATAAACTTGTGATTGACAGCTGGAATGTCCAATAAAAGCCTTGTAACATTCAAACACAAACACAGACACACAAATCAGCGTTCATTATGCTTGCAGAAGCTTTGACGTGACATAATATTTATTGAGCACATTTTTTTAATTACCATCATTACCAGCACTATGACCATTTCCACCACGCAACTGACTGTACAGGCTATTTGTTGTCTGTTTGTGTGTGGGTGTTCACGCGTGTGTGTGTTTCTGTGTGTGTTCACCAGCGAAACGCATGGGCAGCTCACAAAGAAAGCTTTAGTTGCATAAATCAGAACATTTCCAGCTTTTAATTACTTTACGAGCTTGGCGATACAGCGGTTTCTAACATTTTGATGAGCATTTCAGGCATAGAAACATTTCAACAAAACTCTTTGTACTGAAACCTTTCAGATTTCTTTTCTTCTGTCCCTTTAAGGTTAATTACAATTGAAAACATTCACAAATTATTAGAGCAGCCAAACCCTCCAAACACGAGACAAATAGCACAGAATAATAATTGTAAAAAATGATTCTAAGAAACAGACATTTTTGCACTCAGCAAAATAACTTGTTTTTGTTTTTCCCTTCTTCTGTCCTTTCTCATAGTCACATTACAATCTCTAGGGGCACCACAAACATAAAGGAGATCATAAAATAATCTCCATGCTATTTTAGCTCTTTATCTGAGACTATAATGTTAGACTCCCCTCCTTGAACTGCAACCTTAATGTGATGGAGGGGTTCGAGTATCCGAATGAACCTAGGAGCTATGTTGTTGGGGGCTTAATGCCCCTGGTAGGGTCTCCCAAGGCAAACAGGTCCTAGGCGACGGGTCAGACAAATAGCGGTTCAAACCCCCCCTTGATGAAGAAAACAAACACATCAAAGAGGTTCACGTCGCCCGGGTTGACGTCACCGGGGCCCCACCCTGGAGCCAGGCCCGGGGTTGGGGCTCGCAGGCGCCTGGCTCAGCCCAAACAAGCGACATGAGCCCGCTTTCCAGGAGGTAGAAGGAATATTTCGAGGATCTCCTCAATCCCACTGACACGCCTTCCGTGGAGGGAGCTGAGGCTGAGGACTCAGCAGCTGATCCTCCCATCTCCTGCGCTGAGGTCACCGAGGCAGTCAAAAAGCTGCTCAGTGGAAAGGCGCCGGGGGTGGATGAGATCCGCCCTGAGTACCTCAAGTCTCTGGATGTTGTGGGGCTGATTTGGTTGACACGTCTCTGCAGCATCATGTGGCAGTCCGGGACAGTACCTCTGGACTGGCAGACCGGGGTGGTGGTGCCTCTTTTCAAAAAGGGGGACCGGAGGGTGTGTTCCAACTATCGGGGGATCACACTCCTCAGCCTCCCGGGAAAAGTCTATTCCAGGGTACTGGAGAGGAGAATCCGGCCGATAGTCGAACCTCGGATTCAAGAGGAACAATGCGGTTTTCGTCCTGGTCGTGGAACACTGGACCAGCTCTATACCCTCCACAGGGTGCTT